CAAATCATGTGCACCCTTAAAAAAAAAAACCAAAAAAAAAAAAAAACCCCCCCCAAAAAAAGAAATACAGTAATATTAGTAATCATCATCATCATCATTATCATCTGGCCGGTCTAAATTAGCTACCCATTCACACAGACTTTCCGCCCTTCCAGCTCTCCCGGAGCAGAGGTTTTTCTCCATCGCCCCCGTCCCGGGATGTTTTGGGGTGCAGAGGAGCTGCAGCTCCCCCCGCCCGCGGGGACGCGCCCGGAGCCCCGGGGGTCGCCGCCTTCTCGCCCCTCGCTGGGGAAGCCCGATGCTCACACCGAGGAGGTTTGGGCTTGTTGGTTTGTTTGGGTTTTTTTTTTCCCCCTGTCCGAAAAGGTCATTTGGGATCTTTCATTGAGCTGCTCAAATTACTGTTTTTCCCTGGCGGAGAGGAGAGGGATGGGGTCGAAGGGGACTCCCTCAGTAATATTTATAGACAATATTTTCCCCTACTCTGATTTGTTTCTTATCCTTTCCCCCCGCCCCCCCAAGCGGATCGGTAAATCAAACCTGGGTCCGTAAAGTAAAGCCGAAGAGTCTCCCCTTTTATTTTTTTAAGTTTCTACGGAGTGTCTCTGAACTCGTGAGTTTTGTGTGTGCTTTTATGTCTCCTCGGCTCTGTCGGGTTTTATGAAAATGAGCAGTATTGAAAGCTTTTCCATCCCGCTAGCTGTGAGCCTCACATAAATGATGTAAATGGCTCGAAGGGTTTTTTTCAAGTGAACTGTGTAGATCTGTGAAAATAATATCAGGGTTTTCCGTCAGAATGAGCTTAGCACTGTACTGAGGCGTACCATAATCTGACCCGACACCTCCGACCATCTGCGCTATCTATCCGCCTTCTGATTTACCAAATCTTCACAAGCAAAAGACAAATTGTACTTGATACTAAAGAAAAGACGGCGAGCCCCAATCCAGCTCCATTTCTGCGGAGAAATGATTGGAGAAAATGTAAATCTGTTTAATTTCGGTCTACAGGCAACTAGCAAAGGAGCTTTATTAAAGAAGGGAAGACGGGAAAACAAACAAAAAAAAACCAATAAGAAAAAAAACAGGGAAGAAAAGAGAAGGGGGGAAGAGACAACAAGATATCAAATTAAGAAGGCATTTCTTTGACAAGCGTTCTAGAAAAAAAAAAAGGCATTGCAAAGGGCAGAGGAGAGAACATATTGAGCTTAATTCAAAATATATGCTGCCTTTCCGAGCACGGTCCCTAATGTTCCCGGGAAGAAATTGCCACTGAGCAGCTATATGAATATATACATATATAGAATATAGAGAGGCTTCTTGATTTTGGTCTTTTTCCTCCTTCTCTCCAGAAAACAAATCGCATCCTCACAGCTCCGAAAGCGGCCCCGAGCCGGCTGGAGGTTGCCCCGCTCCTCCGAAGGGGCGGCCGGGCGCCCACCTGGCCCCCAGCCCCGCGGTCGCTCCCTCGGGGCGCGGGGTGGGGTGGGGGACAGACCCCTAGGGAATGATTACTGCCAGGTGATCAATATTTCAAAAGAATCCTGAAATCTGCCTTAAGTCGCCGTCCTGACCTACAAATGACTTCTCACTCCCCGCGACTATTCTCGGCGTCTATTCAGGGCCATTCAGCCGAAAACAATAAGGTTTTAAATGTTAAATATATATATATATATATATATATATATATATAAAGCTCCAGTT